GCTGGGGAATTCTGGGAGTTGAAGTCCACTCATCTTAAAGTGGCCACGTTTGGACAACACTGGTCTATGCAGTAGAGTTTGATCACCCACCCCCTGCCCTGAAACTAGCATTCGCTTCGGTGTCTCTCTGCCAGCTGGGTCGGCACCCCACGGTCGCGATGAGCGAATCTGCATCGCGGTGCGCGTGGAGGTGATGACTCAGGTCGGTCGCGGCCCTCAGCTTTAACGTAGCTAGGCCGGTAACGAGAACTGCGGAAAACCAAATCGTTGCTCCCAGGAGCGGGCGGGTTGTTGCAGGAGATCAGCTCCGGAGCCGCTTTGTGTTGGCGTGGAGCAATCTCCCGCCTAGCGGGAGGGAGAGAATCGACTCGCCTCCTCCGAGCGGGAAGTCTTTGGGCTCTTTGCAGATATCGCCTTCGAACGAAAATAAGTTTGCTCATGGATTGCCCAGAAATCCCTGGGAAAATCCCGATTTTTAAGAATTCTCGGATTAATAAACAGAGTATTGCTTCTAGTGGACGGAGGAGGGGGAATGCCTTTTTTTATATATATATGTTAGTAGAAATATTGGGGATTATTCCCATATTATAAAGTGCAGCAAATAGCTGGAAATGGATTAGAGGTTGACGGTTAGGAGGTGCCTGATTTGGTTTCTAGTCCAAATTCCCTCTCTGCCCATCCCGGCCGAAGACCCCCTAAACTGCAGGCAAGGTCAGTCTGGTCGCTTTGTCCTGGGGCAGCCCGGAACAGCAGCGAACTGCATGCTGAAATCTGAGGCTCCAACCCCTAACTTGCATGATGATCTTGCACTTAGGACATTCAGAAACTTCAGAAGTTTTTTCCTCTTTAAGAAAACCAAACTGAACTTTTGTTCTTTGTCAGTGTAGAGTGATTATTTCTGGCTAACCACGGCTATTGTAAATCACTGGATTCCTCTGTTGATTTCCATAGGAAATCTTGTTTCTGTTATAAGGCAGAGAAAAGGACTACGGGAAATAACAGCGGGTCCTAGGTATTCATAAAGGCTGGGTTTCTGTGCAAATGTAATGGGAACAGATTATCTTAATCCCAGTTAGGCTTTCTTACAGATGAACATATAGACTTTTACTTTCACTATAGATGTATTAGTGATCTATAGATGCACTTTCACTGTAGATGCGCAGACTTTGCTGTTGACTGTGGAGGGTCATTAAAATAAGAGGAACAGTACTTTCTCCTCAAATCTGAGTGATAAAAAGAAAAAGTGGAAATTAATGTGTTTTAAGTATGTGTGTATAATATATATGTTTGCACACATATATATATACAAATATGGATTATATTCACATAACACACTCTGTTCTCACTGAGTTCTTACTCACTAGCTGGGTTCCCACAACAAACTTAACCATAAACCATGGTCACACATTGTTAGCTCCAGACTTCATTTTGGTGCTTGGCTGCCAGTCCTCTTTTCCGTAGACTGTTTTATGAAGCAGCCTTATAGGTTTTGAACCTTTACTCTGGAGCAAGGCTCTCTAAATTTCACTTTCCTTTTTTGCAGCTTCAGGCCCATGGCATCGTCCCAGAATACATCACCTATCCCCATGTGACCCTCTCCTCTGCCTCTCGCCTTTGTGTGCGCCACAGCCCTCCTGGGGACTTCTCCTGGCATTCCCTCGCTCTCTTGGATCCCCAGACATCGCCAAAGGAAGGCGAGGCTCCCCAAAGCTGGACAGTACATGAAGTGCAGGGGCCACTGGTTAATCCCAGTCACCCGCTGCTGGCTGTGAGAGGTATTGACTAAAGGCATTTTGGTGACTGGAAAACTGGGCTGAAGAAAGGGTAAAGATAGGATCCAGATGAGGATTAAGAGAAAATGTCATAGGAAACTTGCACTCGAGGTCCACTCAGTATAGAAGAGAGAGGATGTGGAAATGTGAAACTGCGGTCAGGTCTTGGGCTTGAAATAACGAGCAGTCCTTTTGGTGGAAATGGCTAGATGAAGGAAAGTGGTAGCAATGCTTAGAAGAACATTTGGGGATAAAAACAAGCCTCTTTGGGGAGAGGATAAGATTCTGTCTGGCTTCATCTTCTGTTCATGACAACTATAATCCTTGACACTTTTTGAATATTCATTTTGGAGTGACTTCTGGAGCAAATGAACATAAGAGTAGCCCTGCTGGGGCAGGCCAGAGCAAAACAACATTACTACCACTTTCACTCTACATGCAAACATCGACTGGATTGACGGTACCCGGTTACCATTACAACACTAGTTGTAATGGTAACCGGGTAACTCAGGCTAGTCTGATGATCAACACTGAGACAGTACTTTAGCTTGGGTCGGGGGGGGGGCAAATTGGCTGTGTGACGTGTATAGTTTGGTCCATTAACTGAAGAGAACATTTGGAAGGCTCAGAAGGAGCAGTCATAAGAACAGGATCAGGCTAAGGCCTATCTTAATCCAACATTTTGTTTCTCAAGTGATGAACCAGATGTCTGTGGGTTGGATGCAAGGTGGAGATAGAGATGTATCCCTGTCTCACTGTTGTTCCTTGCTGCTGGTATTTGAAGGCATGCTGCCCCCAATCCAGAAGTAACCCTGAGCCTTCCAAATCAATATCCCTTGATACCTGCCTTCTATCAATTTATCCAAGTCCCTTTTAAAACCATCCAGGTTAATGGCTTCATCGCATTGTGAGGCAGTGAATTCCATAAGTTTAATATGTTCCGTGTCTCCTTTTGCCTCTTCTGAGTCTTCTTACACTCACTTTCTTGTGCCCTGCAGGACTTTTACACTTCAATGATGTCCCCCTTTAGTCAGTGTCTTTCCAAACTGCAAAGTCCGAGACATTTTAATCCTTAATCATCAGGAAAATGTGAGAGATTGCTGACAATTTTGGTTGCCCTCTTTTACACTATAATGGCAGTCTTCAGTGAGCAATAAGCGCTACCTTTTTATGGTAGTGCTTATTTCAAAATTCTACAACCTTCAGAAAAACCTTTGATCATTCTGGTTTCCCTGTTCAGTACCTTCTAGCCCTATTACATCCTTTTTCCAAATGTGGCACCCAGAACTGTTAGCACTTTTATTTTCAGTTTATTTTGTAATGGAAAATAATTCAGTATGGAGTCTGCCTTTTTCAAAACTGCTGCATTCTGAGTCAACCTCATAAATGAGCTATGAGCCCAGGATCTTTTTCTTGGTTAGCTACAGGGAACTCACAACCCTTCAGGTTATATGTGGACTTAGGGTGTTTTACACCAATATGCATCATTTTATGCTGATTTGAAATGAATTGCAATTGCCATTTGGTTGGCCATTCGCCCAGTTTAAAGAGATCCTCCTGGAGCTCATCAGAATCACTCTTGGTGTTCACTTCCCTAAATAGTTCGATGTCCATAAACTTGATCAGCTCACTGTTTATCCCTAAATCAAGATAATTTATGAATAAGTTAACATACATTGGTCCCAACATAGATCCTTGCGAGACTTTGTTTCTTATTTCTTTTTTAATAGTAATTAAATTAAAAATATAAATTTAAATCAAGAATATAAATATATTTAAAAAATTACTTCCCTCTAACTATAAACAATTTTAGTAACTTATCACCTCTTAATTTACAACAAATGATCTCTTTGTCCCATATCCCATCTTTTATCTATAAACAAATCCATAAAGCTTCATCGTTTCAGTCCTGATCAGCAAAAGTCCATTAAGGGTTACCAGAAACAAAAATATATCTATTTTAACCTTGATCAAATAAACCAACTTTATATTACTTCTTTTTACTTCTAACAATTTTGGTCTTTAGTCCCTTCAAATAGAAGAACTTGATTTCTTTTCATTTTTAATTTGTCCCTTCTCACAAAAGTTTTCAAAGCTTTAGCTAGCCTCTTTTGTAAATCCAATATAGGAAAAATATCCAGGTCACTCTTTTGGTTTGTTATTTGTATATCCCTTTTAATTATTGAGACATTGGCTGGTTCCATTTGTATGTCCAGTCTAGCATCTTTTTCCATATCATTCTTGTAGCCTGTCATGTTTAAATCCACTTTCAGATCAGTCTCAGTCTTGTCTAGTAAAACTTGTTCCTCTTTCGTAACATCTTTTAAACACACTCTATCTATAGAGGCAGATACTCTTAAACTTCTGGGTCCATTGTTCAAAAATATCCTCCAGTATATCCAGTGTTAAACTATTTTGCTTCATTCTGTATTAGTAAGTCAAATTTAAGTGTTTTTCTCCTTTAATTGTAGTTCCTTCTGGATTCTCTAGTGTCCAACCTTCAAAGTCTCATCCTATCATGTTTTTTTAAGAGAATTCAAAACAAAAGCATTTTCCCACAAGAAGGATTCTTTTAATTAATTCCAAAATCTTATTTCAAATCCATCTGGACCCTTAGTCCATTTGTAACTTTCCATAATCCCTATCATGTTTTTTTAAGAGAATTCAAAACAAAAGCATTTTCCCACAAGAAGGATTCTTTTAATTAATTCCAAAATCTTATTTCAAATCCATCTGGACCCTTAGTCCATTTGTAACTTTCCATAATCAAAGTTCTAATCACCCTTTTGCTGTTTATTAAAAAAAAGTGATTATTCTTTTAATTAATTCCAAAATCTTATTTCAAATCCATCTGGACCCTTAGTCCATTTGTAACTTTCCATAATCAAAGTTCTAATCACCCTTTTGCTGTTTATTAAAAAAAAGTGATTGTTTTTTTTAAGTCCTTAAAATTGTATTTAAAACTTCTTTCACTAAGGATTGAATGAAACTCACCTGGTGTTTTCAGACTTGTCAATCCAAAGATTCCTAATAGCTGAAAAGTAGTTAACAAGCAATTTCCAAAAATGATTAGAAAAGGAAGTATGCAAACCCAGCGTCCTTTTGAAGGCACTGACTGGGAATTCTGGGAGTTGAAATCCACATATCTTCGAGTTGCCACGGTTGAGAAACAC